AAAAAATGAGGGCGAAGAAAAAGAATCTCCGTAGGATATGTAGAAAAATAATCTCCACTATTGTTACTATGAAAGGTGATAACAGATTTTTTGCTAAGACAAAAATAGGAGATCAGGAAGTATAAGCCTTATTAGATTCGGGTGCAGGAGCTAGTTGTCTAGGCAAGAATGCTGACAAGCTTCTAGAGGGGAAAGAAAGTATGATACTTCCTATCAAGGGGCAGAATATCCGAACCGCGAACGGTGGAGAAACCGCAGTGGTAGGTGCCATCACTCTCCCTGTCTTGTGGGATAATGTAACGCGCGATCTAGAGTTCTTGATCGTACCTGGCTTGCAACAAGAGGTTTACTTAGGTATAGATTTCTGGAAAGCTTTTGATATGAGTGTTGTGAGTAGAGGAGTGCCTGCAAGTGTGAATGGTGCGGGTGTTTCAGAGCTTGTACCCGCCGAGGGAGATCTATCCTTTGATGCAGTGCAACACGCCTTGACTCACGATCAAACTGTGGCATTAGAGCGTGTTAAGGCACAATTCCTGTCCTTTGCCGTGTTGGGACTAGGCAAGACAGACAAGACAGACATGTACATATGTATGCTCGTTTTAAACTCCCCACAGGTCATCTCCGTATGCTGGCGCCAACATCGTGGGACTCTTAAGGCTCTGTTATGCATACTTGGCATTGCTTGAGAGTTGTCACATAAGGAATCTGTTAAATGAGCTTCGCGTGTAAGCTGTTACCCAACGCACAGCATTACATACGTAAAAGTCTGTTGGTTTTTGATTTCTACGTAAAAATGGTATAGCAGTGCATGCAATGCCAAGTATGCATAACAGAGCCTTTAGGGCCGGTTTCTCTATGTCTGATTAACATAACCCTCAACCCGTGGTTGGTTAACCACCTGGTAGTTTGAATTGACAGTTTCATTTTCACCAAGTTCTAATTAGCTGACTTCGGATTATTTTGATTATTGTGAATATTTTACGAAAAAGGTCACACAAATTGCTTTGTGAATACATAAAAACTGCATGACAGCTGACATTTGTTTACATTTATTTCATAATTTTCATCCCGCGCATTTCCAAGTTTTACGCTGCTTATTTAATAATTTTCATTTGTGTATAGAATAATGGAAAACAAACAAAGAAGGCTTCCAAATTTCACTAGCACTGAGGAAAATATGTTAATTACGTTGGCGGAGCGGCACGCAAATCTTATTGAAAATAAAAAAACGGATGCAGTGACCTGGGAGAAAAAGCGGAAGGCCTGGGAAACTATCGACGTCGAATTTGAGGCTCAAGTTGGAATCAGGAGAGGTGCAAAAAATTTACGCGAAAAATATGAGAACTTAAAGAGGAGGGCCAGAAAATGCTTGGCGGAAGAAAAAATGGAACTTTATAAAACAGGAGGTGGAGTATATAAGCAGCGGCGGGACATCAACACAGAAAGGTTGGCTGCTTTAATGGGTCAATCTGCTACAGGATTGGACAATGATTTTGACAGCGATGGTAAGATATTTCATTGACATTATTGCTACATCAATATTAAGGGAATTAATCAGTACATGTGTATTGTTTATATCCTTATGATTGGGTGTTAATTGCAAGCAATATATTTGTTTTTTGAGCTTAAGGATAGAAGAAAATCAAGAATAATTTTTAACTGGTGTATTTGTATTTTTGTCATTGAGATTTCGACCTCTATTTGAGATGATCCTCAGGACTAATGCAAGCCATAAACGCTGCGACCCTTGGTTCAACTTAAGGATGTTGTGCTCGAGTTTGCAACGTGTGTGCGCCCGTTGAATGAAGTTGTGTCTTGGTTGTATGAAAGATCAAAATTTTTTGATTTTCTGGCAAGCTGTTCAACTCAACTTTTGTGATCATTTTCGTGGTAACTACTTAGCAAAAAACATTGGGCCGTATGCATAAAAACGAAGCAATTGCTTTTTCTTAAATTTTCATACCTTTCACTTAAATTTATTTGAACAAATTGAGTAAAAGGTTTGACATTTTAAGAAAAAGCATTTGCTTGGGTTTTATGCATACCGCCCATTGTGTGTGTTGTATTTGTTCACTAAATAACCCCAAATGGATAACTTAGCCGAGTTTGTGCTTGTGATGAAGTTTATATGTGGATGCCGAAGCTATGAAATTGTAAAATTGAGATTGCACAGTGAGATTTGTTTGTAGGCAAAACGTCCAACTTGATTACGAATCGAGTTGAACCAACGCTCGCAACGTTTATGGCTTACATTAGAGACATACATACATAGTTATACACTCAACAAATTGTGCTATTTTTAATGCTTATAAACATGTGCATATGAATGCTTTTATACATAATGATGTTTTCAAGTCCTGAAGATGATCTTAAATTGAGGTCAAAACATCGGCGATAAAAACAAATATAAAACTTAAAAATTGTGCTTGATTTCCATCTGGTGCTGAGCTAAAAAGACAATTGCGCTGTTCAGAATCTTGTGGATATGATTTTGCATTTCGCCGTTTAAAGTACAAAGCCGCGTATCGTCTGCAAAACCGCGTAACTCACATATTTTGCAAATGCAAATCCAAGACCATCTCCACAATATCCTCTATTCAGCCCTAGTATATTCATTACATGTGTATATGATTTCAGCCTTTCAAGAAATCGAATATGTGGACGATATTAATGGGGATCTGCGCTCCGCTACCGAAACAATCAAGGAAAGCCCGATCAAAGACCAAAACATTGATATACGCCTCAACCCCTCGCTTGGAAAAGCACGGTTTCTACAACAACAATCTTTGGACGACTCTATGCCAAGTCAAACAGCGAATGATGTGGAGATTATTGAGGGCGCAGAGATTGTAATATAATATTATAGTGTATTTCCATTAATTTTACCTAATATACATATGTGTATATAAACTGTTTCAGGAAAATACACTTGATTGGAGCTCATGGAATCCAACTAGTTTGCGGACGAAAAAAGCTAATAAGCTGGAGGTCAAATCAGAGCAGAAAAAAAATAAGACCATTCTCGATTCCTATCATTTGTTTTGGGAGGAAGAAAACAAAAGGGCGGTAGACAAGCATGCAATGGCGAAAGAAAAGCATACACTCGAAGTAAAAGAAGCTCAGATGAAATTAGAACTTTTGCAAATAGAAATTGATTATAAGAAACATAGAAGTTCTAGTCAACTGCTTTAATCTATATCTATTTCTAAAAGTTATAATTTCATATTAGATGTGGTGTTCTGCCGCTGCTTATATTGAGAGCAGAAGTTTTATACTGCTTTTTCTTTCAAAGTTGCAATTTACAAAAACCCTTTCTAGAAATTTTAATTACAATGTTTATAATTGGTATGAAAAGTTTATAAAATTGTTTGGGGCATATTCGTAGGCAACATAAAGTCGACTATAAAGTTAGTTGCAGCTTTTTCGACAGATATTTCCTTGAAAATAATGTCAAAAAGCTGCAACTAACTTTGGAGTAGACATTATTTTGTCTACAAATATGCCGCTAGAATTTTTGAATTAGTTAAAAATTTTGATTTTCATGGTTTTTTGTTATATAATGAGCTATACTGTTATAGAAAAACTAACTGATACCCGCGACTGCGTCTGCGTAGCTTACTACTTTTCGATATACCCTTGTGTCAGTTGATTCAGTCAAGTGACACTTTGAATAGTTTTGGCTATTTTTCTTTTATATATAAAAGTTTAGCACTTTACCTATCCAGCGGCACATAAGTCCACATTTAAAACTTCGTACAAAGATTATCAAAATTCAATCTGGTGGTGTCAATCTGGTGTCTGTCAAAAATAGATGTAACATCTGAACTATGTTGCCAATATTAATGCTTACTCAGGTAGCTGGCTTATTAAAATTGAACTAAGTCGAACCATAAATATGGATTTTCTGAAAATTATTATATTGATATAGATATAGTACGCCGAAGTTATTTATATATTTTTTGGGTGCTCATAAATAACTTAGAACCAGTATTTATATTATTTAATCTTTTTTTAGTTGTCTACGATTGAATATTCCTTTTGTTTATTTCGCAATTGTAATGATCTCATATGCAGTGCTTATCATGAGTGCCGTATACTCACATATTGACCAGATTTTCCTTTTTTTATGAGAGTATATTTTATTCTTTAACAAAAGCCGTATAAATGCAAAGTTCAATGGCCTTATTCATAAAAAATAAAGTAGGTTTAAAGAGCTTTATAAATTGACGTTTTCATACATTTTTCAATTTAAAAACCTTTTGTAAAACTACTTTATTTTTTATGAATAAGGCCATAAATCTTTGTACATTAAAAAAAGAAATCAACAAACTTTCTTAAAAATTTCGAGCTTTTTAATTATCTACAAATATGTAGATAGTGAAATTTTGTCAATATGTGAGTTTCGTATATATATGTATTTAAAAAAATTTATGAGCACCATTTTAGATGAAACACATTTTTGTAATTTTTAGTTTCTTCTAAGTGTAAGTACTTTAATATTCAATATATAATGTATTGTACCTGAATTCCTGTTTTGTTAATAAAAAAGGAAAATTACAATGACATGAAATTTATTTGAATATGATGAATATACACTCCGTTGCATACAAAGTACTTATGTTCTAAGTGGTTTTATATCGACGGCTGAGTGGAAGACCGACCTATCTCGGCAGTCGGTTTGAAAACGCCATACCTCAAAAAAACTTTTCAAGAACTCCCTAATTCAGAATTCGATTGAAGAACGCCCTATCTTAGAATTTGGTTCAAAAACGCCCTATCTCAACTGAAAGTATATTGAAAATATGTCGAGGTAGGATATTTAAGAATCGGCAGCGTGCTTGTAATAAATTCTAAAATAGGCCGTTTTGAAAAGTTTTCTGAGTTAGGGCGTTTTCGAACTGTCTGCCGAGATAGGGCGATCTTCCACTCAGTCGTTGATATGGAAGAAAATGCCTAGCACTGTCAACAAAAACTACGATTGTTAATATGTGACGACTTTATATTACGCAACGGGTGTATGTATGTATGTAGACATTTCCTTACAACCTGAAATATAACAAAAAATACATTAAAAAATAAACTTATGCATTTGACAATGTTCTTGTGGCTTATTAACATTTTATTTTTAATATTGATATTGAGCTTTGTCCACGATTATGTTTATTATTATTTTTTCTAATAAACATAATCGTGGTACAAAGCTCAATAACAATAATTAAAAATAAACTTGTGCATTCTTTTTAATTAACCAACCTTGAAAAATAATCTCTGATTAAACTTGATCTTATATCAGCGTTTTCTTGCACCTCAGCTATCCTTTCGTCTGCATGAACGGGTCTATCTGCTGGTTCGCCCAAGTTAAAGCCTTCTAATTCATTTGGGTTAGCGTCTTTGTTCTGAATAGCAATATTATGCAACACTCCACAGGCAACAATAACGTTCATGATTGTGCACTGTGAAAGTCTTAATCCAAGCGATAACACTGGAAACCGGCGCTTCCATACTCCAAAGCACCTCTCAATACAATTCCGAGTACGAATTTGAGATTCGTTGTAAAGTTTCTCAACGGGAGTATTGGGATGTAAAAGTGGAGTCATCATGTAGTTGCTGACTCCATAACCACTGTCGCCCAATAAAAAACATTTTTTAAACTCATTTTGTTCAAATCGGTGCTTCAGACGACTGTTGTGAAAATATTGCTGGCATGTGCGGAACCAGGCCACCTGCATACAAGGTCTGTTAGTTCCAAATTTGCATTACAGACAGCTTGCACATTAATGGAAAAGTATCCTTTACGGTTTCGAAAAATTTCGGCATTTTCTCCACCGGGGGACTGGATTCTGATATGAGTGCAGTCGATACATCCCACTACCTTTGGAAACTTCGCTCTTTGATGAAATGCACGAATCGCGATTTCGCTTTCCGTGCTTGTTTTTGGCATTTTAATAAATGTTGGAGCAAGTCCCGCGATAGCTTTGGAAACTTTGCTAACTGCTCGACTTGCACTGGGTACGCTTACTCCGCAGAAATCAGCAACACAAATCAAAAAGCTTCCTGAAGCGTAGAAGCGCAATGCTAGAAGCAATATTTCCGCTGGACTGATTGCTCGATTTCTGCAAGATAAAATCAATTATGAACATGCACGCCTATTACAGTATTCGATGGATAACATCGCACTGCCATCACAAACGAGTATGGAGGATTACATTCTTACCATTGGCATCAGTTTGATACATGCCTGTTCCGGTTCGACGGATGCCATTCACACGAATCTAATCCTTCATATTCGAATAAGGTTAGATACATGCAGTCGGCATCCGTAATAGGCATGAATGTATTTATTTACTCCGACCATTTTATTTTCACAAACCTTTCAGTTGGGCTCCGAATTTTTGTTTCTATCTTCTTCAAAATGTATTTAGCACTTGTTTTTGAGATACGAAATCTGCAAATGAAAGTGTCGTCGTCATACTCTTCAAAAAAATTTGTTTTGGTGCGGTATTTTCGTTCTTTATTAATCCGTCTCTGAATCAAACCAGATAGATGGGCTGCGCGTTCCAATTTTTCCATTTTTTATACACACTATAACTCTTTATTATTATCTAATTGGTAGTGAAATACAATTTTATGCACTATTTTACTATATTCACCTATCAATTTTTCTTTCGATTAGCGGCTAATCTATAGCCAATGTTCGCGGTAAAATAACCACAACTTATCTGACAGGTGAGCCCTAATCGGACTTTGAGAAAACGCTTTTTATGCTACCTTCCGAATAAGTAATAATTAAGCAATTAATCGGACATGGAGAAACCGGCCCTTAAGGTGAGTGCAAAGCTATTTTGTAAACATTTATACATACATACATATATTTGCGCAGAAATATCTGCACACGTAATTTACATATATTTTTCTTATTTTGTTATGCGTTGATTTTATTCAAGCCGGTGTTGTGAGGCATTTTCCAACGTTTTGTTTTTAGCTACATTTGTCTGTACGTGTGTGCAGAAACATAATATTAGGGTAGTTCCCACTAGTTTTTTTGCGGAGAGAAAAAAAAATAAATAAATAAAATAAAAGGAGGCCAAATCATAAATGAATAGTATTAGGGATAATTTGTGATTGAAGTAAAAGAGAATCTGCAGAAGTCTTTTTAGTTAATATTCTAGACCTTGTATTAGATTAAATATCTATAGCTAATTGGTTTGAACTGAATAACCTGAATTTAGTTTTTGTATACAGCCAACGATTTTAAGTGAATTGATGAATTTGTTTAGGGAATTATACATAGCTAAGGCGGATATTTAATTGTGTAAGATTAGGGCGAAGATTTGATTTGAATTTTTGTTTGGTAAAGACCAAACGTAGTGTTAGTGTTAGGATAAATAATCAACTCACTGAATTGTAGATTTGAAGAATTGTATAATAAAGGGGAAAAACAGTGAAAGAAAAAAATAAATGGTTTCTACTTATTTAGTTGTTTGAGGTAAAACACAGAGGCATCGTAATGGAATGCTGAACGTTTTAAGTTGGTGTGGGTGTTACAGTTAGGCAGAAGAGGGGACATGTGGGTGTTGACCATAGACTTTACGGTTAATTGACGTATGAACTAGTGACCGACGGACTTTGTCAGGCTTAGGGGGTGTTGCTAGGTAGCGGGAGTCACAGCAACGCCCATGGCTACGCGTATGTTGCACGTAAAAGGGGAGGGACGACTCCACCTGACAGGACGGGACTTCATACTGTGTATTTTTCCTTCATCTCCTGTGCTTCGACTTTTTTTCTTTTTCTACAGTAATCAGGCATGATTAAAAAAAAAAATTTTGTTAATGTGGGTGTAGGTAAGGCAGGTGGTAAAGACCCCCCCATCCGACGAGCTAGACCGGGTTCGCCACCATGCCTGTGCGCCACCTTGCTTTCACCGGAAGTCTCACCCACGTAACAATGGCGCCCAACGTTAATAGCCCAATAGTTTTCATTATTCCCATATCTTTTGCTTTAGCTTTTTACTCATTTTCTTCTCCTATCACTTCTTCTCCCTTACTTTAGAGCCTTCTTTTTTTTATTTCTAATTTTCTATCGGACAGGTTAGGGTCAAGACGACAGCATCACGAGCGGTCACCGTGAGTGATTTGTGTCCGACTGACAACAGCGGGAGGGATGGTCACCACAACTTAGAAGTGCCTTCAATGTTGCCTCAGAGCAGCTTGAAGTGGTATTCAGAGTTGAGTGATCACAATTAGTTTGAGTTTTTTGTGATTTTATTGTGGCGGAGGTAGGCCGGTTGAGCTACCTGGTGTGTAGTCCAGCACCGCACACAAGTGAGGCTCCTGGGAAGTCTTCGTGGGGGTAACTAGCTGTGGGGGGATGTGTGTCAT